TTTAAAATGCCGTCTTTCTGGGCTGTCCTGCCAGAGCAAACTCTGACTCTTTCAGGCAGGCAGTCCAACTGAGTGTGGTCTGTGAGCAGAATGCTGCAGCTTGCTTGCTGGCAAGGACCTTGAAACGCCATAGAGTTGTGGCAGTGAACACAGCTCTGGCTGGTACCTCAGCCTTGAGGCTGAAATGCTAAGGAATGAGCTGGATCTAGCTGTCAAAGCCACGGCTCTCCATATTGCTTAGTAAATTAATGGCTCATGTGGTCAGAAAAAGAAAAATATACAGTAAAGAGAGATTCAAAGAGGAAGAAAACCTCTAAATGGTTTACAGTGTGTATATGCAGGCTAAAAGTTAAAGTTCTTAAAGTTAAAAGGAAAGAAAGAGAGTAGTTGGGTGTGGTGGTACACATCTTTAATCCCAATGCCTGGGAGGCAGAGGCATATTGACCTCTGTGACTTCAAGGGGTAGAGGTAGATTGACCTCTGTGACCTCAAGGTGTGGTAGTACACGCCTTTAATCCCAATGCCTGGGAGGCAGAGACAGATCTCTGTGAGTTCAAGGTGTGGTAGCATACACCTTTAATCCCAGCACTGGGGAGGCAGAGACAGGAGGATCTCTGTGAGTTCAAAGACAGCCTGGTCTACAGTGTTATTCCAGGACAAAGATATACAAAGATCCTGTCTCAAAAAGTAAAAGTAAAAATAAAAGAAATAGAGGTTAAAATAAAGCCACATAAAGATGGAAAATGCACAGATAATCTTCATACTGTATGCTTTTATGCTCTCTTTAAATTGTTTGATTGCTGAGGAAGGAGCAACAACTGCTAAAAGATTTTTGTTTATAAATGCTGCTGAACTAACCCAAGATAGGAATTTTGAAAATACCTTGGCTTCAAAACTGAAGTCAAAAGGTATGTTACTTTGGAGAAGAGATTTTGCTTTTGTTTCCACAGAAAACGAGAGACTCTGGATTTATTCAGAGTTAAGAATAATCACCTTTGACCAAGGGAGGCCGCCTGAAAAATCTCCGATAGGAACAGATGGCCCAGATGACAGAGGTCTACATCCAGAACTGATCCAAGACTGCTGCCTGAGATGATCGAGACTCACAGGATACTCCAGTCATGACTTGATTATAACTCTAAATTTTCTTTAGGTCCCCTTAAGACTATCAGCGCCCCCAACCAGCAGGAAGTAGCCTGAAATACTACGCCCACATTCCCAACAAATGGATTATGGGTATTTTCCTTTGTTTAAAAAAAAAAAAGAGGGAAATGGTGTGGGAGAATTGTCTGTATTCTGTCAATCATATTTTAATAAAACGCTGATTGGCCAGGCAGGCAGTATAGGCGGGAAAGCCAGACAGGAAGTAGGGGTGGAGCAAAGAGACTGGGAGTATTCTGGAAGCAGAAGCTCTCTCTCAGGCACTCCTGCGCAGATCACTGAAGAAGCAACATGTAAGCTGCCCCCGCTGGAAAAGGTACTGAGCCATTATGGCTAACATAGATCAGAATAATGGGTTAATATAAGTTATAAGAGTTAACAAGAAGCCTGACCCTATGGGCCAATCAGTTTATAACCTAATGTAGACTCCGTGTGATTTTCCTTGGGACTTGCTGGCTTGTTGGGGTACTGGGTGGGACAGAAACCCCAACAAGCCAGCCCTCAAGCTACAATTCACACTCCCCACCATGCCCCCTCCATGGAACACCTTTTTTACGTAAGTCACTTCTTTCTAACATGGTGGTGGGTGTTTTATTCGTGGAATGTTGAGATGTATGGGAAGTTGAGTGTGGGAGGTGGTGTGGGGGTAATCACCAAGGAAGACTGCTCCAACAGGAGTTTAAGCTAATAGAAAACCTTTATTAGCCGGCTGGCCACTACTGGGTGTTCCAGATTGCAGTGTAGCCCCCAGCCTTTCTCCGGGTGAGCTTCTAAGCCAAAAACACCATGTTCTAGGTTGACATACTTCAGTTAACAGGAAAAGTTAGGCGGAAGCAGAACCACAGAAGTCAAAAGGCAAGGCTTATTCCAGAACTATGGACGTGGATGGATTAGGCCTTTGTTTTGGCAGATGGTGCTGTCTATGTGCTGAGTTTTACAGCCAGAGCGGTACTTTTCCCCTTGGAGTCAGTTGCGCTAGCGGCCCAGGGCCTCCTAAAGTCTGGGGCCCCGGTACAGGTGGCTTATTTATTTATTTCTTCCACGGTGGGGAAGTTGACTAACAAACAGTAGGAGACAATTTACTGGAGGGAAATCCCATCCTGGGATTAGGGTGATGTTTACAAGGGTGTAAGGATCCATTAGAACTCATTGAACTACACGAATAGATAGGCCTTAAAGAAAAAAAAAAGCAAGAAAAAAAATGTAATCAAGGTACAACTTATGTCTTGTGTGTGAAGCTTGTCCAAAATCAACAACATCGTGCTTCTGATAGAACTATACTGAGGGAACGGAGGTGAGAGCAATTTAGGGAAGGGTTGAGAATGTGGGCTGTGGGAAGGGCTGCCTGGGGCTAGCTAAGCCCTGCCCTCCCATCATACATTGCATAATGTTCAAAAAACGTAAGCACATTACTCTCCCTTCTCTCCAGTGGCTGGCAGCCACTCTTCTACCTTCTGCCTCTATGAATCTGAACTAGCCCATAGTTCAAGGTACACGGTGGGGTAGGGGAACCACGGCACCGGGAGCAAGCTGGCCACATCACGCCCACATCACCAAGCAGAGAGGGGCAGTTCAGCTCCCTTTCTCCATCTCCTACAGGCCAGCCTGCCCTTCCCGCTTCAATTATCATAATAAAAACCCGCCCACCAGAGGTGAGTCTAGGTTCTGCCACTGAGGCTAACTAATCATCACCGTGTGCGAGCAACTCAGCGCTGAACTGCATCTCCAGATCCCCACATTTTATTTATCCGTTCATTTATCAATGCAGAGTTGGTTGCTTCAAACTTTTGGCTTTTATTCCTTTTCCTTTTTTTGTTTTTTGGTGTTTTGTTTTGTTTTGTTTTTCGAGACAGGGTTTCTCTCTAGCTTTGGAACCTGTCCTGGAGCTCACCCCATAGACCAGGCTGGCCTTGAACTCCACAGAGATCTGCCTGCTGGGTTTAAAGACGTGCGCCACCACTGCCCAGCCCTTTCCCTTATTTTTAAAAGCTTTTAAAACTGAGTATAGTGCCTCAATCCCAGCACTCAGGAGGCAGAGACAGGTGGATCTCTGTGAGTTCAAGGCCAATCTGGTTTACAAAGTGAGTTCCAGGACAGCTAGGGCTGTTACACAGAGAAACCCTCTCTCTCTCTCTGTCTCTCTGTCTCTGTCTCTCTCTCTGTCTCTCTCTCTCTCTCTCTGTCTCTCTCTCTCTCTCTCTCTCTCTGTCTCTCTGTCTCTCTCTCTCTCTCTCTCTCTCTATATATATATATATATATATATATATGGGGGGGTGTCTGCCTGCTGTAGCATTGGTTTGGAAGTCACAGGCAACTTGCAGGAGTCAGTTCTCCCCTTCCACAACATGGGTCCCGGTGGTTAAATTCAGTTTGTCATGTTTACCTTCTGAGTCACCTCACTGTTATACACACATATTTAAAAAGTTAACATCTTCCAGGCATGGTGGCACGTGCCTGTAAGCCCAGCATGCAGGAGCCTGAGACAGGAGGGCCACACACTCTAGATTAGCCTGGCTACACAGGAAGATCTCTCTCAAAAAAAAAAATCAAACAAAATAAAAAAGTTAGTGTCTTAGTTAGGGTTATTATTGCTGTGATGAAACACCATAATCAAAAGCAACTTGGGGAGGAAAGGGTTTGTTTGGCTTGTACTGCCACATCACTGTTTTTCACTGAAGGACGTCAGGACAGGAACTCAAACAGGGCAGGAACCTGGGGGCAGGGGCCGATGCAGAGGCCATGGAGGGGAGCTGTTCGCTGGCTTGTACTCTCTGGATTGCTCATTCTGCCTTCTTAGAGAACCCAGGACCACCAGCTCAGGAGTGCCACCACCCACGATGGCTGGTTCCTTCCCCATCAATCACTCATTAAGAAAACTCCCTAGGCTTGCCTACCTCTCAGTCTTAAAGAGGCATATTCTTATTTGAAGTTCCTTCCTCTCAGATGATTTCAGCTGTGTGTGTCGAGGAGACATAAAGTTATCCAGCACAGTTAGCAAGCTAGTATCTGACTTTCCATAGTAAGGCCACTAATCAACATCAGAAGTTAATTAAATTCTGGGGAGATGGTTGCATGTGTAAAGTGCTCGTGTGCCAGTGTAAGGGACGTGAGTTTGTATCCTAGCATCCATGTGAAAAGCCAAGTATGAGTGTATGCTTGCAGTCCCAGCACTGGGGAGATGGAGACGGGAGAATCCCTGGGAATCGGTGAGTCCCAAATAAGGTGGAAAAAAAAATAAGGTGGAAGACTCCTGAGGAACAATAGCCAAAGTCGTTCTCTAGCCTACACACACACACACACACACACACATACACAAAAACAAAAGCAAGCAGGAAGTGCCACTTAGTAGGTAAAGGCACTGGCTGACAAGCCTGGCAACCCGGGTTGGATCCAGGAGACCCACATAGTGGAATGGTCTCATGCAGTCACACATACACAAACAATAAATAAGTATACTTTTAAAAGCAAATCAAACGTATGGCCTCCATGGACTTATTGACAGTATTCCAGTGTGGCTACGAGCATGCACACAGCAGTCTGCTTGCCTTATCTCTGCATTATGGCTAAGTTTCCTTTGCCATCCCCCCCTTTATGAGAGCAGGTGATCTGGTGGCATTGGCCATTTTGTTCCAGGGGGTACCCAGAAATCTTCAGTGAGAAGGGTACTACTGAGACCTACATCTCTTGGCTGCCACAAGCATGTCCTGAGATGATGCCTGCAAGCTGCCTGCCAGAGAGCCTTAAGTGGGCCCTTAAGACATAGGAGTACTTATTGTTATGCGACAACCAGGGTGGGGGTGGGGAACTGGTTATGAATCAGAGGAGTGGGTGGCCCTGCCTCCTGTCATGGAGGGGACTGCAGCAGGGTCCTGGGGCCTGTGCCCCTCTGTGCCATAATGCTGGGGGACCTGATATTTTTTCTGAGGAGTTTCCATGGGTTTCTTGCTTCTTCTGGCACCATAGGAGCCATCTTGGCTTGGCTGATAAGCTTTAAGCCAGCCTTGTTTGGCTTCCTCTTCCTTCTGCTATTGCTCAGCAACTGGCTAGTCAAGCATGAACTCAATCAGGCTCCCTGCCAGCCCCTGACGGTGAGCAAAAGGGTGCTTAGCTTCAACTTGGGTTATGAGACACTCAGAGCGGGACGGGGGGGGGGGAGGGGAGGGTTGGGGGGCATGGCTCAGCGAAGGTTAGTGGGGCCTCAGGATAATGGGGTCACGCTGAAGAATTTTAAGACTCCAGGCTAAGACCATGCTCGTGGCTTCCTCTTGGATGGTGGAGGACAAATCTTTTCAGTAAGGGATCTGCTTCAGCTGTGAAATAGGGGCCATACCAGAATACCAGACTCTCCTATGCCATTTTTCATTGTGTTTCAGCAACACTATCAACTATTTCAAGTGGAAAAAAACTTTAGATCAATGTACATGTACGTATATAATGTATATTTTTTTTCTATAATAGAACAATGAAGACATCAGAAATGCACAAATTGGGTCAGTTTCTTTTACCGCACCCTCTACCTGAACTAGTCATCTTATGAAGACAAGAGGGTTTTTTTGGCTCAAAATTTCAAAGGTTCTGACTTTTGCCTGGGTGGACTTGTTGCTTTTAATCCCCTGGCAAATGAATTATGGGAAGGAAAGGGCAAAAACTGAGCACGTCTGGCCAGGAAGTGAAAAGGAGCGAGGTAGTGGGTATTCGCTCCTCCTCTATCAGATAGCCCAAGGTCATGGGCGGAGCGAGTAACCACCACAGGGTACTGGAAACAAATCAGGGTTCTGTGTCTCCCTCTGAAGGCATGCCTGTGGAACTCCATCTCTTAAGGGGGTTCACCACTCCTCAAAGGCACCAGGGATTGAGCCCTTAATTTAATGCATGGGCCTTTGCGAGATCTTCTGGATCTTCATTTTAGCAGATATGTTAGCCTAGGCAGTGCTGTAAAATAAGGTCATCTCTAGGAAGGATGCTCTTGATGTGTGTGTGTGTGTGTGTGTGTGTGTGTGTGTGTGTGTGTGTGTGTGAAGAGGGAAGGGAGCACTGTTTAGCAGCTTCTCTGGCCTCTACATTAGGAAACACTAGTATCACTTTCCACCCACTTTGCCACAATCTAGAATATATCCAGATGTTGCCATGTGTTACTTGAAGAGGGCAAAAGAGATGGCTCATCCTTTAAGAGCACTTCTTGCTCTTGCAGAGGACCCAGATTGGGTTCCCAGCACCCACATGGTGACTCACCACTGTCTGTAATGGGATCTGACGCCCTCTTCTGGCCTCTGCTGGCACTGCACGCACCTGTTGCACAAACATACATGCAAAACTACCCATACACATAAAATAAAAATAATTTGGGGCTGGAATGATAGCTCTGTGATTAAGAGCCCTAGCTGCTCTTGCAGTGGACCTGAATTCAGGTCCTAGCATCTACATGGTGGCTCGCGGTTGCTCCTAGCATCGCACTTGCTCCAATTCCAGGGATCTAATGCCTTCTTCTGACTTCCACAGGTACCCAGATGGCGTCTCAGCCATCCATAATTCCAGATTCAGGGGATCCAGTGCCCCCTCCCAGTCTCCTGAAGGCAAAACACTCATAATCACAAAGTAAATACATCTAAAAATAAAATAAAATAATTTTAAATTTTTAAAAAAGCATCAGGGTTAGGGATGTGCCCCATTAGGCAAAGTACTTGCTGAGCAAATGTGAGGACTGGGATTGGATGACCATTACCCACTTAAAAACAAGTAGGTGTGGTGGTCCACCTGCAGTCCTAGTCTGTAGCAAGCAGAGACAGAGGATCCCCAGAATAGGCTGGCTAGCCAAAACAGTGAGCTGTGGGTTCAGGGAGAACCCTTCCTCAATATATTGGGTGGAGAACCATGAGAAAGGCACCCACCATCAGCCTGGGGCCTCTTCACACAGGAACACACACACTAATACACATGCCAGTGTGCAAATACACATGCACACCATCCACGTATACATTTGCAAACAGAAACGTGCATTCAAACACTAAAGACCTATTTCAGGGCTATAACCGAGGAAGTGACATTTGTGGGAAGGGAACCCCAGGGGAGAAGTTCACAGACATTTCAATTATATTTGTGAAATTTCCTTCCTCCTCCTGCCCTCCCCTTCTCCCTCCCTCCCTGCTCTCCCACCGAGCTGCAGGCCCAGCTTTTGATTTAGGTTGCTATAAAAAAGCTGGGAATTTGGAGTGCTATTTACTATTGCTCCTCACGTCATTTTACCTTGCCTACTGAGGCAGGGTTTCATGTGACCCGGCTGGCCTGCAGCTCACTGTGTAGTCAAGGACGACTTTGACCCCCTGATCCTCCTGCTTCCATCTCCTGAGGTGCTGGAATTATAGGTGTGTGCCACCATACCTGGATTATATACTGTTAGGGTTCAAACCCAGGACTCTAGTTATGCCAAGCAAACAGTCCACCAATTGTGTTAGTTAGATTCCATCCTGCAATAGTTAGTTTTAAAGTATTTCTTTCTGGTTTTATTTATTTTTATTTTTCGAGCCAGGGTCTCTCTGTACAACAGCCCTAGCTGTCCTGGAACTAGCTCTGTAGATCAGGATGGCCTCGAACTCACAGAGATCCGCCTGCCTCTGCCTTCCGAGTGCTGGGATTAAAGGCATGTGCCGTCACCACCTGGCACATGTGTGCAATTTTTAAAGACCAGTAGTTTGTAGCTTCATCCAAAGAGAGGAAGTGTTACTATAAACTGGGGGGCGGACTCATAAGGACTTGTGAGGGCTGAGTGCTTAGGATGTCTAGAGACCACCGAGACACTGCAGTTTGAGGTCTTACTGATTCTGACAAAATGCTCAGAAAAAAATTGGAAAATGAAGATTTTGGAGATAGACATACATATTTATGCAAAGGGCCTTAATTTTTTCTCTAATGTGTGCGGGTAATCTTGTGCCACAGTACATGGCAGGGTGACAACTTGCAAGACTTACTTCTCTCCTTCCACTGTGTGGGTCCTGGGGATCAGAGTCACGTCTGACTTTGTGGCAAGAACCCTTACCCAGTGAGCCATCTCGTCGACCCACAGAGCTTTATGTCTCCTACAACTGGCAGATCGTCCCTATGAGACAAAGACACCCGTGGGTTTTATTCATTATTTTTTGTTTGTTTGTTTTTGTTTGTTTGTTTGTTTTTTGAGACAGGGTTTCTCTGTAGCTTTGGAGCCTGTCCTGGAACTAGCTCGTGTAGACCAGGCTGGTCTCGAACTCACAGAGATCCACCTGTCTCTGCCTCCCTAGCGCTGGGATTAAAGGCGTGTTCAACCATGGCCCAGCCAACCATAGATTTTAGCTGTTTGGAGAAGGAAGTGCTGGCTGTAGGGTGATGAGAGTGATTTTCCCTGACTAGATCCCAATTCTCCCTTTCACGAATTCCGGCAAAGTTGCTCTCTCCTTGACAGAGGGCCTGAGAATTGATTAAATGGCCTGGAAGGCTGGGACTGTAGCTCAGTTGGTAGAGTCTAGCATGCATGAAGCCCTGGGGGTTCAATTCCCAACACTGCATAAACAGATGTATGCATGCAACCCCAGCACTAGAGGGGTAGACGCAGGAGGATCAGGAGTTCCAGGCCAGCCTGGGCTAAATGAGACCCTGTCCTAAAGTTGAAAAGTAACAGGGCCTGGAGCAGGTGTTCTGTGTTGGGAGGAGTGATCATTATGAATTGACTCTTTTCTTCTGATGGGGCTCCTAGAAGGTGGCAGAACAAACGACGGCTCCAGAAGTCAATCCCAATTATGCCACAGACAAGAGAGAGTTGGAGAAGATGAACGTTTGCTTCGCTCTCCAGGAGAAGGTCCTGCAACGGCTGCTGTTCAGTGAGATGAAGCTGAAGGCCTTGGAAAATCAGATGTTCATCATCTGGAATAAACTGAATCGCCGCCGGTGGCACAGCAGACACCAGAACTTCTCCAGGAGGCGGTACAGGCAGAGAAGGAATGGCTCTGCTTTCTCCACCGTCTCTAACTACACCACCAACACCCACACTGACTGCGGCTGAAATGGCCTCGCCTCTGCTGATGTGACCGTCACCCAGTGTCTGAGTCTGTTTTGTTGTCATCGCTCTAACAAAATACCCGAGCCTGGGAACTTATAAAGAAAAGAGCTTTGTTTAGTTCACAGTGCTGGACGGAGATTCAAGAACGTGAAGTGAGCAGTGGCTTTTTGTGAGTTCTTCAAAGAGGATAGCATCACATTGTGTGTGTGTGTGTGTGTGTGTGTGTGTGTGTGTGTGTGTGTGTAAGAGAAAGACAGACAGAAATAGAGAGACAGACAGACAGACAGACAGACACACACACACACACACACACACACAGAGATAGCAGTTGGTGTGAGAGGAAATAAAGAGAGCCAGGAAAGCCACAGCTGCTTTATGACAACATCTCCCGCATCAGGGGATGTAGTTCAGTGGTAGAGCACTTGCCTGTGATGTGGAAGGTCTTGGGTTCAATCCTCAGTATTTCCAAAATGAAGAGAACACGCTACTCTCTTCAGCTCACTGGGTTAAGGCACTTCCCATCAAGCTACCCTGACAGCCTGAGTTCGATTCCTAAAACCCACGTGGTCCAGGGAGAGAACTGACTCCCACAAACTGTCCTCTGACCTCCACACTTGTCAGGAACAGACACATGAACACACACACAAGGTAAGAAGTAACATAAAAGCCACAAACACCTTCTCTCCTTCTCGAGGTAACCAGTCCAGTCCCAGACTGTTGCTAGGATTAAAAACAAAACAAAACAAAAACCAAAACACCATGATTAAAAGCAACCTGGGGAGGTAAGGGTTTATTTGGTTTACAGGTTACATCATCAAGGGAAACTGAGGCAGAAACTCAAGGCAGGAATCTTCTGAGGAGCTGAAGAGAGAGCACGGAGGAACGCTGCCTACTGCCTCAGTCAGCTTCCTTTCTTTTTATTTTTTTCTTTTGAGGCAGAGTCTGGCTACACAGACCCAACTGGCCTAGACCTGCTCTGTAGACCAGGCTGACTCTGAACTCACAGAGATCCATTTGCCCATGACTCCCGAGTGCTGGGATTAAAGGCATGCACCGCCATATCTAGCCCTCAGCTACCTTTCTTATAAAGCTCAGGCCCACTTCCCAGAGATGCTGCTGCCCAGTGAACAATCAAGGAAACGCCTATGGACCAACTCTTAAGTTAAGAGTCCCTCCTCCTAGGCGTTGCTCTGACAACCAAAATTAGCCACCACACCACTCTCGCAGAGGGCCTAGATCCTGTTCCCAGCGCCCACATCAGGCAGCTCACCACCACCTGCAGCTCGAGCTCCGGGGGATCCGGTGTCGTCCTCTAGTCTTCCTGGGTACCTGCACACATGTGGGATACACATACTCACACAGGCACACACACACACAAATTTAAAAAGAAATCTTGACACATTTTGTTTCAGTTCTTTATGCGTGTGCAGGCGTCCTGAGGATCCAACTCAGGCTGTCAGGCTTGGCAGCACGCACGGAATTGTCTTGCTGGCCCTGAACTGTACTTTTAACTTTGTGTGCGGCAACTCCTTAGACATGTTTCTCAATTTTTCCTCCGGTGACTGGTTAGAGTGAATTTAGCAGCAATACAGCTGCTACTGCTCTGAGTGACAGCCGGAGCCGTCCATGCAACTTCCCACTTGTCCCTTTGCCTAGGAATCTCAGCTAGAGGATGGCCTACAGTTCATCACTCTTCTCTTTTACATTCTAGCGTCTCCTTTTTAAATATGTACGCGTGTTCTGCCTGCGTGTGTATATATGTACACCACCTCTGTGAGTTTGAGGCCAACTTGGTCTACAGAGTGAGTGCCAGGACAGGGTGCTGGTGTAGGAGGTCCTTCTGTCTTTGTGTTGCTTTCATTGGTTAATAAAGAAACTGCTTTGGGCCTTTGATAGGGCAGAACTTAGATAGGTGGGGAAAATTAAAACAGAATGCTGGGAGGAAGAAAACAGAGTCAGGAGGGCTGAAGAGATGGCTCAGTGGGTTAAGGGCACTGGCAGCTCTTCCAGAGGACATGGGTTCAATTCCCATCACCCACAAGACAGCTCACAACTGTCTGTAACTCCAGTTCCAGGGGATATGATACCTTCATACCAATGCACATAAAATAAAGTTAAATAATATATATACATATATGTACATACACACACACACACACACACACATATATATAAAACAGAATCAGAGAGACATCATGGAGCCTCCAGAGACAGACATGCCAAATCTTTCCTCGTAAGCCACTGCCACGTGTCAATATATAGATTAATAGAAATGGGTTAAATTAATGTAAGAGTTAGCCAATAAGAAGCTAGAACTAGCCGGGTGGTAGCATGCCTTTAATCCCAGCAACCGAAGGCAGAGGCAGGCAGGTTCTCTGTGAGTTTGAGGCCAACATGGTATACAAAGCTAGTTCTAGGACAGGCTCCAAAGCTACAGAGAAAGCCTGCATCAAAAAAATAATAATAACAATAATAAGATTTAATGAATACAGTTTCTGTGTAGTTATTTTGGGGCTAAGCTAGACTGGTGGCCGGGATGAACAAGTGAACAAGCGGGCCCTCTACATGTAACAGGGTGCAAAGCTACAGAGAAACCCTGTCTCAAAAAACAAAAGCAAGCAAGCAAACAAACAAAAAGGAGAACAAGCCTAAGACAAGCTGAACTTCTCTATTTAATAGTACAGTCTCCTGCTGTGGTAAATGCTCTTGGAAGATTTGCCACTCATATTGGTTTAATAAAATGCTGATTGGTCAGTAACCAGGCAGGAAGTATAGCTGGGGGAAACAAACTAAGAGAATTCTGGGAAGAGGAGAGGCAGAGAGTCAGTTGCCACCCAGACATGGAGGAATGCTGCACTGATAAAAGGCACCAAGTCACGTGGCTAAACATAGGCTGATAGAAATGGGCTAAATTAAGAAGTCAGAGCTAGCTAGACTATGCCTAAACCATCAGCCAAATAGTATTGTAATTAATATTGTTCTGTGTGATTATTTGGGTCTAGGCATCTGGGAAACGAAAGAGCAGTCTCTGTCAACAAATGACACACAATGTGGGAGGTTTGGATACAGCTCTGGCCTGTGCCGGTGGCTAAAAAGCCTCAGGCAAACTTTTTTTTTTTTTTTAAATAAATTCATGCCCCAAAAGTTGAATGCCAAATAAAACATGATTAATAAAAACTCAGAGACTGGGGGGCTGGAGAGATGGCTCAGTGGTTAAGAGCACTGCCTGCCCTTCTAAAGGTCCTGAGTTCAATTCCCAGCAACGACACGGTGGCTCACAACCATCTGTAACGAGGTCTGGTGCCCTCTTCTGGCTGCAGGCATACACACAGACAAAATTATGTATACATTAAAAAAAAAACTCAGAGACTGAAATTGGGGTTCAACCTGAAGATCTGAAAAGCAAAGAGGCCAACCACTGGCTCTTTCCTTGACCTCAATCCGAAAATAGCAATCCTGCCTCCAGGAATCTCAGAACAAGACTGTGTCAGAGAGCTGTTTCCCGCCATTTTATACTCCTCTTCAGGGCTGGGATTAAAGGTGTGCACTCCTGGGATTAAAGGCATGCACCACACAGTTTCTATGATGACTAGTACGGCTACTGGGATTAAAGGTGTGTATTACCACTGCCTGGTCTGTAAAGCAGACCAGTGGGGCTGTTTTGCTGTCTGATCTTCATGCAAGCTTTATTTATCAAGATAACAAAGGAATGCCACTACAGTCTCCATGTCATTATTGTGGGCTGTGGTCCTGATGAGAAAGTACCATTATAGCTTTCCCCAGTAGCTCACGATTTGGAAGCTTGATTACGAGGTGACCTATATCTGGGCGGTGGTGGCGCACGCCTTTAATCCCAGCACTCGGGAGGCAGAGGCAGGAAGATCTCTGTGAGTTCGAGGCCAGCCTGGTCTACAAGAGTGAGTTCCAGGACAGGCTCCAAATCTACACAGAGAAACCCTGTCTCGAAAGACAAACAAACAAACAAAGAGGTGACCTATAGACTCTGGAGATGAAGTTGAATGGTGGAACTCTTGCCCGGCGTGAGTGAAACCCTGGGTTCCATCCCCACATTTCAGAAAAGAAAAAAAAGTGGCATAATTGGGTCATGAGAGTTCTTAGTCTGATAGGGAAAACTGGGAACACGTGTGGCTATGTAATGAGTACACGAAGTGGTCTAGGGATGTATCTGGATGGCACAGCACTTGCCTGGTGTGACTGAGGCCTGGGGTTTCTGTCCACAGCCCTGCAAAATCGATACATCCTGCAAGTTGTCACCCCCAGGACGCCCCTGTCTGCCTCCCAGTGCTGGGATTATAGGACTGCACTGTTGCATCTAGCTCTCCTCCACCCCAGCCTGTGTGCTCAAGTACTTTGCCCACCGTGCCATCTCCCCAACCCTGTACTTTTTGAGACAGGGTCTCACCAAGTTGCTCAGACAGGCCTGGCACTTGTTTGATAACCTTTGGCAGGCTTTAAGCTTTTGGTTCTCCTGCCTCGGCCTCCTGAGTGGGTCACTTGCCACCAGGCCTCAAGACTTGAGTTTGATCACTAGAATCCATAAGCTAAGAGGAGGGAACCGACACCAACAGGTTGCCCTCTGACCTCCACGTGCATGACTGCAGGCACCCCACCAAAAATAAATAGATGTAATTTTTTTTTTTTGAGACAGGGTTTCTCTGTGTAGCTTTTTTGGGACCCTGTCTTAGAACTCACTCTGTAGAACCGACTGGTCTTGAACTCGCAGAGATCTGCCTGCCTTTAATCCGAGTGATGGGATTAAAGGCATGTGCCACCGCCACTTGGCTAGGTGTAAAATTTTTAAACTTTAAAAAATGACAGAGTTGCCAAGTGGTGGTGGTGGCATGCCTTTAATCCCAGCACTCAGGAGGCAGAGGCAGGTGGATCTCGGTGAGTTCTAGGCCAGCCTGGTCTACAAAACCTAGTTCCAGGACAGGCTCCAAAGCTACAGCGAAACCCTGTCTCAAAAAACAAAACAAAGCAAAACAAAAGACAAAGTTTATAGAAAATAAAACTAAAAGGCAGCTGTGGGGCTGAGTAGGGCGGTCATCTCTCCGCTGAGAGAAGAGGCCCACAAGGGAATGGCAATTACAGAGACTTGGTTGGGCTCTCTTGCTACCCGGCGGCCACGTGCTCCTACCTGT